AAACATCCTTACTTGGTTTCAGTTCAAGAGAGCCAACAGGAGAAGGTCTACTAAATTTAGACTCTGAGCTGATTTCATCACTAACCTGTCCTGAAAGAGGTCTCTGCGGAGAGAAGAAAAAAGGCCAGGGGACAACACACTAGGATGGGATTAACCTATTTAAGAGGCACAGACTGCAGTCAGAAATGGTCACAAAGAATATTCTGCTAGGCTCACAGCACCTGTCCAGGCCCCAGGGCGTGGCAGATAGCCACACCTTTGTGAATCGAGTGTTTCTGGGAAGCCTTGTCCTTCCAGAGAGCCATCAAGGACCCAGAATTGTATATGTGATTACAGTGACTGCAATATGACCAGCTCAATCTAGAAGCTTTCCCGGAAGAAAAAAAAATACAAGAAACTTGATCCAAGACAGAGCTTGAAACAATTTGGAGAAGCACAAATTGAAACGGAATCAAATACTGATGTTTCTCTCTTTTTAAGCTAGTGAAGAAAACACCTATATTTTTCCATCTGAAAAATAGTTTAATTCCAATTAAATTTTACTAAAATACTAAAATGCTCAGGAAGATAACTGAGCTGTTAGCCAGCATGGTGACAGTCCAGGCAGTGCCCACCTGACATGCGGTTTGTGTCTCTGAAGGTGTACAAAGTCAGCAGTTGGCTTGTCCTCCGGAGTGGGTGGGAAGGAGGAAGGGAAGGTCGCACAGAGAGGACAGGCAGTCTGTGCTAGGCTTTGGAGGAATGGGAGAGCCACTGGTCGTGAGGGGGCTGGCCAAGCCCCAGCAGTGACTAAGCAGCAGACCCAATGGCTTTGCAGCTTAGATCCCCGTAGGCAGAAGAGGATGGGGACACAGAAAAATGGAGGCCAAAAGTTTCAAAGGAGGTTTGGTGTATGAGAATAGGGGAAGCAGGGTGCAGAGGAAAAGGAAAAGGGACATCTCTTCCACCCCCATCAAATTCCTCTTCCCATTTCTTCCCGTTCCTCTCCATATAGTCTGCTACCTTTTCTGTCAGCTCCAACATGGTGTCTCAAGTTGTTAAAGCTGTTTTTTGTTTCTTTTTTTTTCTTTCTGGATTTTTAGCACCATGTTGTCCATCCTTCCTCTTGAGTATCTTATAGAATATTCACTGGTTTGAGCTGGTACTGAAGCAAAAACAAAGTATCTCACCCTACAAAAAGCTGTGGGAATTTTATAAAGCAATTGAACTACAACCTAGTATTTTTTTTTTTTTAAGATTTTATTTATTTATTTGAGAGAGAGAGAGAGAGAAACAGCATGAGAGGGGAGAGGGTCAGAGGGAGAAGCAGGCTCCCCGCTGAGCCGGGAGCCCGATGTGGGACTCGATCCCAGGACTCTGGGATCATGACCTGAGCTGAAGGCAGTCGCTTAACCAACTGAGCCACCCAGGCACCCCTACAACCTAGTATTTTGAAGCTGAATCAATCTTGTGTTTCATGGGGTTCAATCCCCTAATTCAACTGTGGGAAATCCACAAATACTGTTCATTTTTACAACAGATTTAGGTGATTACAGGTATATGTGCACATCCACTGTTATACTGCTTTCCATTTACACAGCCTCATCTTTCACCTGAAAGGTAAAGGCTGCTTTTCACAAGAAATGAATGCACACTAAATATGCATATGATTCTGGGGCCCAGATTTACTGTTCAAAGGAAATTTTCATAAGGTTACATCCGTGGAATAAATTAACAGGAGATAAGAGTGAGTCATTTCATTGTTTTGCAACTCACTGCCATCTATCTCCAAGTGTTAGGCCTCCTCACAGCACCTCTCTTTTAAGATGCTTATATACAAATCAATGTCATATAAAGGCAGGGAATTCTGAAGAAAAAGGAACACAAATGTGAAGCAGTAGGTTACTTCTCTATGAGCTATAAAGAAAAGCTGACGTCAGGTTTAGTATTAGCTGGAGGGAGATCTCTTAGCTGGAAATAAAAAAGAAAATGCAAACGAGAAAAAAAAAATGCCAAAGGGGAACTGCCAGAATTAGAACATAAGTCTTTCACAAAAAGAAATAATTTTATTGAATAAGGAAAAAATCAGTTTAAATATGTGAAGTTATTTTGTGTGTTTTCCCACAGCATACTAAAATACAACCACACACAGTAAACTGAAGTCACTAAAATAAAAGTTGAAGAAAAAACTATTAGCCAAGAATTTGACTACTTGTAAGTACGATGAGGAGAAATCACTTAGTGATTTGTTCTTATCCTAACAGCACTATCCTAGCTGCCTTAAAGGTCTTCTAGAACAATGAAGGGTATAAATAAATAAACTCATAAATAAATAATTAGATCGCTTCTTCCTGCTAAATGCCACTGAAGAAGAGAAGAGTCACAGACTAAATTATGAATGAGGAAACTGTGCCCGATAGGTTTTGGATATTTTAACTTCATTTCTAGTGGTTTGGGGTTTCTCTAACATGCACTGTAAGCTCTTGGCTACAGCACAAAAGTACCTGGGGTGCTTGTTAAAATACAGATTTTAGGCTTCACATCCAGAGAAACTGAGAAGGTCAAGGATCCTAAGAATCTGCATTTTAAGGAGCCCCATAGGAGATTATAAATGCATATGGTCTACAGTTTGAGGAAAGTACTACCTAAAATTGAAGACCTGTCTTTGTACTACACGGATTAACATGATTTAGGCAAAAAACATGTTAACCTCTATCCTACAGTTTTTTGAGCCAAAAACTGTTTCAGAGCAGAAAGGAACCTTTAAATCTACTTTATTCTTCAGAATCATCAACCTTGTAGCCTTAGGGAGCCAGTGAGTTATCTTAATGAAAATTATCTGTTCAGGGGTGACCAAAATGGTTTCTAGCAGGTTTCATCAAGCTGCAAGTGGCTGTCAAATGCATACCAATGCTTTAAGAGAACTCTACAAGAATCTTTCACAAAGGCTGCTGAAAATTTTGTGGCATTTGCTTTATTAGAAATGTGAAAGATGAGCAATTAATTACATCTATTACTACTCTAAAAATTCTAATTGCCTTCTCATTGCACCTGCTAGCAAAAACTCTCCATGCTTATTACAGAGAAAATGCTGTTCACGGGCTCATCTACCACTGAGCTCCTTCCTTCCCATCTCTTTTCTCGATAACCAACCCCATTCCCCTTATTCACATGTGCATATGCCCACTTTGAGAGTAAGATACACCTTTCTGTCTTTGCCCCTAGCAGTTGCAAACGGATTTTCATGCACCCTGCAACAGGCGCTTCTGAGTGAACAGTATGTGTCAGTCACTGTGGAGAAATGGAACTAGTAACAATGACGATACTGAAGGGGTATGCACTGTTAACAAGGGGATTGCTAACAACAGAAAACTCTGGGGTTCCCCCCCCCTGGCAAATTAAAAGTAAAATGCTGGAGCACTCTAGAATGCATAGCAAGAACAGTACCATAAAATGTGACTGCATAGAGATCTGCAGTTGAGTGAGATGCAACAGGGGCTGTTGCCGACGGTGACTATTGGGAGTCATTTCAACAGGCCAATGATACAGACCTCGCACATCATCATGGTCTATGCCAGCTTTTCTTCAGCTTGTACTCAAGGGCAAAGAACTGGTTGGTGAGCATCCATTATTGATCTCACAAATCACAGGACTTAGGTTTGAGGCCTGGGCGCAGGGAGGGTGAGTGAGATAATGCCTCAGCTCTAGCCAACCTCAATGTGTTCACTGGGAGACAAACGATCATGGGAGAAGACCTGTCAATACTAGTGAAAGTCTGTCCTCTAGAGTCTGTTCTCAAATCTTGACCTGGACAAAGGAGAATATAGTCACTGGTGGTTGGTGGACTCAGGCTTATCTGCGGGGGACCCTGGGGGCTTTCCAAATTCTGACTACACTTCATGAAATCTCTTTACACAGGCCCCCCTGGGAAAGACAGAAGAGGGTCTTCCCCCTGTGCCAGCTGAATCTGCTAACTCCTCTGTATCTGTTATGTCTTGTGGAATTTCATGAGAACACACTTCAGGAATATTTCCTAACACCATTTTCATGTCAGAGCCAGAGAGGAAATCTCTTACCTCTAAGTTCACAAGAAGAAAATACTTCCTATATCCAAAGGAAGACTTTCTCTGATAAATACTCTAAAAATGAATTACTTTACCAGGGGCACGTTTTTATAACATGCTCCTACTTTATCACTGAAGTCAAATCTTCATTTTTTTTTTTTTTAAACTCAACGTGCATTCCCTGCAGACCTACTTTATACCAGGCATGGTGCATGTACCTGATGATATATGCATCTGACGAAGAATAAAACTCAGTCTTGCCCTCAAGGACTTCTGGTGCCTTCAAGGGAGCAGGAGTTGGACCTTCTAACACAGCGTGGTCAAGTCTTACTCTGGAAGAGTGGGCACAGTGTTTTGGTAGATCTGGGGAACTCTGGTTCGGTTTTTAAGTGTGAATGAGATTTTAACACAAATGAAAAGAAGAAAGACCTTTTCAGCAAGAAAAAAAGTTATGGGATGCAAAAGGCAGTCCGAAGGGAACACAAGAGTATTTTGTAGGACTGAGGCACAGGGAGTATGGGGAAAGACGCAGAAATTGAGGAGCTAGGATGTAGCAAAAACAGAAAAACCTTTATCAGCCATGAAAAACAATGAATTTTATCCTGTAGGAAGGACAAGGTGGAGCCTGGGAGATTTTTTAAGAAGGGGTTGCAAGACCCAATCTGTGTTTTAGGAACATAAGTGTGGTGGCTGATGCGATGACTGAGAAGAGCCCAGAAGACCAATAAGAAGGCATTATAGAGACCGTAATAGGTGCTGGGACTGTTCTATGCTCTTAGATGCCCACGATCATTTCCCTCTGCACATTCTTTAGTTATATCTGAGTTTTCCCCCTTTAATTATACATCAATACTGATATTTTTTTCCTACCCAAGATGCATCATCTGTGGTTCATAAAATAACATTTCACATGAGTAAACACTTAGGTAAATACATTCTTAAAAAAGAATCCCTTACCTGAACAAAGCTGTTCCACTTTTGTGTAGTTTAAAGATACTATGTCATTAACCCATGCGATGATATCATGTCTGCTCATAGTCTCTTGGGTTATCGAGGTAGAATACACATTGACCGCCATTCCCCAACTAGAAAAAGAAAAATAAGGAAAAAATTAACTCCGAAACATAAAAGGTCAGGATCCCTGGCAGAACTCTAAGGGATGGAAAAGGCCTGTTTCAGCTGAGCCTTTTCTCTTCGCTCTCTCTTCCACATATTTGCTGAAATACAGTTAAAGTTCACATACTGTTCATGCAGTACCAATCCACATTCCCCACCGCCGCTGGACTCCAAGGTTTTTTAGGTTCTGAGATATCTATTATCTCATGTAACGTGGTCTCACCGTCACCCTTAAATCTATGTGTGGTATTAAAAAGTTATCAGGTTTGTAACAGCGTGCACTGGAGTCACCTTTCATCTTTCTACGTAACTTCATCATACTTTCATTACTTGCCAACAGTGCCCCCTCGCACACTCCTTGGAGATGTAAATGGGAGCTCCGTTGTATTCAGTTGCTCAGGCTAAAAACACCATGCCCATTCTTGCCTCCTCTGTTTCCCTCACCACCACATCCAATCCATCAGCAAATTCTACTGGCTCTACCTTCAAAGTAGAACCAGTCTTTCCCACTTTGGTCAATGCTCACCTGATGCTTTGCAGTATTCTTTCCTGGGTCTCCCACCATGTACTCTTGTCCCCCCTTCCCCCCCACCACATATTCTCAACACGGCAGCCAGAGTGATCCTAGTTGCAAAATCACATGCGCTCTCTCCTTAGTTTAAAACCCTCCAATGGTTGCTCATCCCACAGTACAATTCAAATTCTTACCAAGCTTTAGCCAGCCTGATATATTCTGACACCTTTCCTTACTACCCTCTCCCCCTCACTCCACTCCATCAACACGACCTGCTGGTTTTCTTCAACTCCTCAAGCTCACTTCCTCTTCAAGCCTTTGTACTGCTGTGGCTTCAGCTAGGTCTCTATAATGCCTTCAAAACCCCAGTTTTGAGGTGCATGCCCTCATTTCCATCTCCTATTCTTCTTCTCTTCACAGACCTAGGAGAGAAGCTCCATTGGGGCAGGGATTTTGTCCATTTTATTCTTTGTGTATCCCTGGTGTCTAGTTCAGTTCCAGACACAGAGTAGGCTTTCAATACAAATGCTGAAAGCAGGAATGTGCTCCCCCACCCCCCTCCCATGTAAAGTAAGCAAGGCAGTAGATAAGCTAGGTAAGCTATGTACTTTAATCAGCTTTGGAGAAATTCACTTTAGAAATGGGCTTCATATAAGTTTCATTCGAAAAAAAGAAATCCTCAACCTGGTATTCTCTATTTCTAAAAGCTTTGGACAAAGCTTTTATAAAAATATATAAAAACATGTGAATAATTTGAAAGACATGTACTGTCTAATTACACGAGTCTTCCCTTTAATTTACTCCTTCTGTTTCATGACACCTATTTCCCCAACTTTTCATCAGAGTGAAATACATAGGAGCTTTGCTTAAAATATTTTATCTATAGTTTTGTGTAATTGGTTTCCTTTTTTTAAATCAATAAACTTTGTTTTAGAGTTCTTCATAGCAAAATTGAACGGAAGTAGAGGGTTACCATATACCCCATTGTCCCCACATACACACAACCTCCGTCACTATCCACATCCCATACCAGCTGCTACATTGGTTACAATCAATGAACCTACTACACTCATGCACTATCATCACCCAAAGTCTGTGGTTTACAGTAGGGTTCACTCTTGGTGTCGTACATTCTACGAGTTGTCACAAATACACAATGGCATGTATCCACTATTTTAGTGTCATACGGAGTAGTTTCATTGCTCTAAAAAATCCCCTCTGCTCCGCTGATTTTATACCTTTCCCCCAGCAATCCCTGGCAACCACGGATCTTTTTACTGTTCCACAGTTCTGCCTTTCCCAGAATACCATGCAGCTGGAATCATACAGCATGTAGCCTTTTCAGATTGGCTTCTTTCAGAGTAATGTGCGGTGAAGGTTCCTCCATGTTGTTTCATGGCTTGATACCTCATTTCTTTTTAGCACTGAGTATTCCACTGTCTGAATGCACCACTCAGCTGATGAAGGACATCTTGGTTGCTTCCAAGCTTTGGCAATTCTGAATAAAGCTGCTAAAAACATCCATGTGCAGGTTTTTGTGTGGACATAAGTTTTCGATTCATTTGGGTAAATACCAAAGAGCACTACTGATGGATTGTATAAGAGTATGTTTAATTTTATAAGAAGTTACTAAACTGTCTTAAGTGTCTATCCAAAGTGGCTGTACCCATTTTGATTTCCTTCCAGCAATGAATGAGAGTTTCTGTTGCTCCACATCCTCACCAGCATTTGGTATTGTCAGTGTTTTGGATTTTGGCCATTCTAATAGGTGTACACTAGTAAAAAAAATTTTTTTTAACATTTAAACCTGGTTGAAACTTTGCAATTTTACTAATTCTGTGCAACATATAATACTTAAATCTTTAAAAAAATTATGTATTTATAAATACATAAGAAAGAGAGTGTGTGCATCAGGGAGGGGGCAGAAGGAGAGAGAGAGAGTTCAAGCAGATTCCCCACTGAGCATAGAGCCAGACGTGGGGCTCAATCTCATGAAGCTGAGATTATGACATGAGCCAAAATCAAGACTCAGACGCTTAACCAACTGAGCCACTCACAGGCCCCTACTTACATAATTTTATGTAAAATGTGTGTATCTTTTATTTTGAAAAATTTTACTTTATTTATTTGACACAGAGCGAGCACAAGCAGGGGGAGCGGCAGGCAGAGGGAGAGGGAGAAACAGGCTCCCCGCTGAGCAGGGAGCCCGATGCAGGGCTCGATCCCAGGACCCTGGGATCATGACCTGAGCCAAAGGCAGACGCTTAACTGACTGAGCTACCCAGGCATCCCCCCAAATTTTATATATATAAAACTTATTTTGAAAGGTTTTTTTTTTTTTTTTTAAAGATTTTATTTATTTATTTGAGAGAGAGAATGATATAGACAGAGCATGAGAGGGGGGAGGGTCAGAGGGAGAAGCAGACTCCCCGCTGAGCAGGGAGCCCGATGCGGGACTCGATCCCGGGACTCCAGGATCATGACCTGAGCCGAAGGCAGTCGCTTAACCAACTGAGCCACCCAGGCGCCCTTTGAAAGGTTTTTGATACATCAAAAAACCAGCTGTGTTTACTTCTTGGCTTCAAAAGTTATCAATATTGGTCAATCCTGTTCCATTTATACTAGTCAGTACTTTGTCCCAAATCCTACCCTCCGTGCCCCAAGCCAGTTTGTTTTGAAGTGCCAAGCATCTTACTGTTTTGCTTCAAGTATTTCAATACGTTTCTCTGAAAGATAAGGACATTAAAAAAAACTCAAATAGCATGAACACATCTGAAAATAAAAATAATTTCTTAATATCAAATATGCATTATAATGTCATGATTTTTTTCAGTTTGTTTGAATCTGGACAAATAAGTTTTAGACATGATGATTCATTGATATGTACTTTAAATTTCTTTTATCTGTAGATTTCCCCTCCATTTCTAATATATATTTTTTTTAATTGTTGAAGGAACTGGGTTCTTTCTTGTACAGTTTCTACAATCTGGATTTTGCTCACTCTATCCCATTGGTGTAGTATGACATATTCCTCTATCCCTTGGGTTCCTATAGATGGGTCATTTGATCTACAGGCCAGAGAGGATTCAAGTTCTAATTGGGGGTTTGGAGGCAGGACTACCTTGCAGTGTTTGAACTCCCATCAGGAGACACATAATGACTGACTCCCTTTAGGACATCGTTAGCTATTAATATTTGTTTAGATCCACCAATTCTTTATAGAGACTTCAGAGTCATATTCTATTATTCATTTTTTTTATTTTTTATTTTATTTTTTTAAAGATTTTATTTATTTGAGAGAGAGAATGAGATAGAGCGAGAGGATGAGAGGGGGGAGGGTCAGAGGGAGAAGCAGACTCCCTGCTGAGCAGGGAGCCCCATGCGGGACTTGATCCCAGGATTCCAGGATCATGACCTGAGCCGAAGGCAGTCGCTTAACCATCTGAGCCACCCAGGCGCCCTCTATTATTCATTTTTGATTTATTATCTAGAACAGTTCTATAAAGAGAAATTTCCCGAGTACTGGTCACATAACAAAGACAGGACAGATGCCTGATTTGTTTTATTTACCATTTTTCAAAATAATGAGGTAGTTCTCTACTATTCTCCAAACATGACTAATGAGGTTTTTATTTTTGAAGTGGAATTATGAACTCAACAAGTATGTTTCAATCCACGTCTCAACCGACCACGGTTTAAATCTTTACTAGTGTGAGCTTGCAAGAACTTATTCAAGCTGGTTTTTGAGTTCTTCTAACAAGGTCCCAGTAGTCTTTGATCATTTCCTTGCTTTCTGGTATGACATAATGTTCCAGGCCCAACTTGGACCTTTCCTGCCTTAGACATAAAACCAGTTACTTCTCTTATGGGCTCCTTATTTCTATAATCACAAATGGTATTGAGAAATAAATATTTTTAAGCATGGCTATATAAGAGAAAAATCTTGTTTTACACAAAAATCTGTGTATCTGTAAAAGAGTTGTGTTTGGAGTGATTATGTCTATTGCAATAAAAATCTGCTTTCTACCTACCGTGCTAAATGAAGACTTTTTTTAAAGATTTTATTTATCTGAGAGAGAGACAGAGAGAGTACGAGGAGGGGAGGGGCAGAAGCAGACTCCCCGCTCAGCAGGGAGCCCAGTGTGGGCTCGATCCCAGGACCCTGAGATCATGACCTGGGCTGAAATCATATGCTTGACTGAGCTACCAGGTACCCCAAAGATTTTTTTAAATAAATATAAAATATCCATCTATCCCCAAAAGCACCCTCATCTCTAAATTCTCTTCCCCTGAAGACCTAAAAAAAAAAAAAACCCAACCTTCCAGTATTGGCATTTTAGATAATGGGACCATAGTCACTGCTTTTCTACAACACTATTAAAGGTTTTTGAGTAGTATCTGGTTAATAACATGCACTGTTTTCTTTAGTCTATCATTATTAAACAAAGCTGTTTG